AAAAATTTAGCATTCCGAAAAATTCTTGGACTTTCTTTTTTTTAATGGAAGTTTTAGGATTGCTTCTATGCGAAATTTTAATGGAGTGATTGTATTTCCTTCAATAAAATATCCAAAGAATTTTACACGATTGAGGAAAAAAAGTGAATTGTCTAGGGCTGCTTTCATGTTTTTTTAAGTAGTATTCGGTGGTTTTTATCCAATAGTTTAAACAATTCGTTAAATAGGTTATGACAATTTTACTGAGAATGAGTGGTCGAAAAATTTTACTCGTAAATGCTGAAAAGGCTGCTGGTCCTATGGAATTCCATTGAAAAGTCTTTTAAAATCGTATTGTTGATTTCCAATAACGAATGATGTTAAGCGTCGTGGTGGTTCATCTAGTGACATTTGATTGTATGCGCTTTTCACTCTATCTGTTGTAAAAAAAATTTCAAATTGTTTTTGTGAGAAGTACTTGAATTGGTTCTATGGGTCAATTACATTTAGACTCATCAATGAAGGAATTGAAGTATCTAGCGTGTAGAACGGTTTTTAAAGATTCTCATTTAGCTAGAATAAACACGGGATTTATGAATGTGTTACCTTGTGGTTGTTCTTCATTCTTTACTGGAGAAATGATTTCGCATTCTTCTAATATGTCTAGTAATCGATTGACTTTATCTTGGAATTGGATTGGAATTTTACGCTCATTGTTTTTTGAAAATTGCGTAAACCATTGGGTATTTAAGTAGTAATTCAGCTAATTGTTCAAATTTTTTTTATGTAATTTGAGAGTGTTGAAAGTTGAACATTGTAAGAAATTTCTGTTGTTGTTTAGTGGTATATTTCGATATTTGAACTGTTGGTTTAAAATAAAATGTTATTAAAATGAGTCTGGGTTTTGTTTTCGATCACTTATTATACTAATAATTGATAATTCTTCATTAAGAATTGTTGATTGGCTTATATCTAATAATTTCAATATATTATTTACTCTATATGCTATTTCTTTTGTTGGAGAAATTGTTGCTTTTTTTTCGCAATAACATAAAAGTCCTGAGGTATGTGATTTTATATGGAGCATTTTTCTATACTTGTACAGAAATCATAACTGAGTTTTTATTTTTTGTGTGTTCAATCGACGAGATTGTTAATAGAAAAAAACTTATGAAATGGCTTGAATTCGAGGTCCAACATGTATAGTCGTTGTTTGTTTTGTTTCATATTGTATTGGTGGACTTGATTTATTGAGAAGTTGTATACATATCCTGCTAGTGGTTTCAGGTGTTTTCCTTCTTGGTTATGTATAAGGTAAAATTTGGGGAAAAACGGAGGTTGATTATTTTGTCTTTGAAAGAGTGTAAGTGATGTGTTTTTCATTATTGTATATTTATCCTTTATACGTATTTTGCTATTTAGGATATTAATAGTGGGAACATAATTAATAAAAAAATGGTATTCTAACGATTTTGTGTTTTATATCTGTGATATGGAATGTTTGTTTGAAAGGTTTATTTAAAAGTTCAATTTGTTCCATTTTTCGAGTGGGAACAAGTAGTAATTGAATTTTTCCGAAATTTGTTAAACAGGTTCCTTGTGCCGTAGCTAATTTGGTTGAGGTCTTTGACGGTAAAAATTTTGGATGTAAAGTTTGTATTTCATTCCATGTGGGAATGTTTATAATATTCGATTCTGCTCCTGAGTCTACTTTGTTTTTGTCAAGTGGGTTGGGTCTAGGCAATTTTTGGTGGGGGCAAGACTGAGGGTCTAAGAATTAGCTTTCGAATTTTGTTTTTATTTATTGGATGATCGGGGGTATTCAGGAGTTATTTGTACTTTGGGCTAAATTATCACGTCCAATTTTTACTTTAGGCTAATTTAATACTTCTCCTTGAGAGAAATTTAGAGTGTGAGTTGGGACAAAACTGTTGATCTTTGTACTAGGTGATAGAGGGGACGAATGTAATATCCAGATTTTGTTTATTTCGGTTGTCATATATGAGCTTGTTGCTTATTTTCGACCTGCAGGTCTTTAAGTTATAGTTTCATATATGTTTGGAGCTTGTCTGTGCATTATCAATGTCAGTTTTTACGGCACATTTGCAATCCAATCGTGATGTTGTTTCGTCTTTTGCAAGAAAAAACTTAATATTTTGTGGTATTTCTACTTTTGTTATTCTTGTTAGTAATTTAGGTGGTGTGTTTCTACTGAGTGCAATGGAAGATACTTTCCAGCGGTACAAACTGTATGTAAGTGTGGGAATTTTATTAGAATTAATTGAAATCAATAAATTTATAGATTGATATAGATTTTTGTGTAAATGGAATAATTATAGGTTTATGATCTTTAAATAGAACTGTTGGATGTTTTGATCCAAGTATTAAAAATTCATATTCTGTGAGAATATATTTTTAGCTGTGCATTCTCTCATAAAGGAAGAGAGTCTAAGTTCAGCTTGTGTAAATAGTCTTGAGTTTGCTGAAACAAAACTCATTTTGTTTTTTCCACTGTGTGATTGTAATAATGCTGAGCCGATGCGGAAATTGGTGGCGTTGCACATAGCATAAAATGGTTGGTCTGGATCTGGAATATTATTTGATATTTGTTCAGTGAAGAGTGTTTTTGTTTCTTCAAATCTTTTGGATGTTCTGTTGTCCATTCAAAATTATTTTGTTGTCTGCGAATATTAAAATATGGTCTTAAATATAATTGCATTTTATAGACGTAATTACTTAAAAAATTTAGCATTCCGAAAAACTCTTGGAATTTCTTTTTTTTTAATGGAAGTTTTAGGATTGTTTCTATGCGAAATTTTAATGGAGTGATTGTATTTCCTTCAATAATATGTCCAAGGAATTTTACACGAGTGAAGAAAAAATGTGAATTGTCTAGGGCTGCTTTCATGTTTTTTTTAAGTAGTTTTCGGTGGTTTTTATCCAATACTTTAAATAATTCGTGTTTTGTTTGTGATTGCATGAAAACATCGTCAAAATAGGTTATGACATTTTTACTGATAACGAGTGGTCAAAAAATTTACTCATAAATGCTGAAAAGGCTGCTGGTCCTATGGAATTCCATAGAAAAGTCTATTAAAATAGTATTGTTGATTTCCAATAACGAATTGTGTTAAGCGTCGTGATTGTTCATCTAGTGACATTTGATTGTATGCGCTTTTCACTCCATCTGTTGTTAAAAAAAAATTCAGTTTGTTTTTGTGAGAAGTACTTGAATTGGTTCTATGGGTCAATTACATTTAGATTCATCAATGAGGGAATTGAAGTGTCTGGCGTCTAGAACGGTTTTGAAAGATTCTCATTTAGCTAGAATAAAAACGGGATTTATGAATGTGTTACCTTGTGGTTGTTTTTCATTCTTTACCGGAGAAATGATTTCGCATTGTTCTAATACGTCTAGTAAGCGATTGACTTTATCTTGGAATTGGATTGGAATTTTATTTGCTCATTGTTTTTTGAAAATTGAGTCAAGTTTTAGAGGTATATTTAGTGTTGAGTTTACTTTTCGAACATTGAACTTAGTTGAAGCGTAAACCATCGGGCATTTAAGTAGTAATTCAGCTAATTGTTCAAATTCTTTTTGTGTAATTTGAGAGTGTTGAAAGCTGAACATTGTAAGAAATTTCTGTTGTTGTTTAGTGGTATATTTCGATATCTGAAATGTTGGTTTAAAATAAAATGTTTTTAAAAGGAGTCCGTCTGGGTTTTGTTTTCGATCACCTATTATACTAATAATTGATAATTCTTCATTAAGAATTGTTGATTGGCATATATCTAATAATTTCAAGATATTATTTATTCAATATGCTACTTCTTTTGTTGGAGAAATTGTTGCTTTTGTTTCACAATAACATAAAAGTCCTGGGGTATCTGATTTTATATGGAAAATTTTTCTATACTTGTACAGAAATCATATCTGAATTTTTTATTTTTTGTGTGTTCAATCGACGAGATCGTTAATCGAAAAAAACTTATGAAATGGCTTGAATTCGAGGTCTGACATGTATAGTCGTTGCTTGTTTTGTTTCATATTGTATTGGTGGACTTGACTTATTGAGAAGTTATATACACATTCTACTAGTGGTTTCAGGTGTTTTAGTTCTTGGTTATGTATAAGATAAAATTTGGAGAAAAATGGAGGTTGAATATTTAGTCTTTGAAAGAGTGTAAGTGATGTGTTTTTCATTCTTGTATATTTATCCTTTTCATGTATTTTGCATTTTAGGATATTAACAAAGGGAATATAATTAGTAATAAATGGTATCTAATGATATTGTGTTTTATATCTGTGATATGGAATGTTTGTTTGAAAGGTTTTTTAAAAGTTCATTTTGTTCCATTGTTCGAGTGGTAATAAGGAGTAATTGAATTTTTCCGAAATTTGTTAAACAGGATCCATCCTTGTGCCGTAGCTAATTTGGTTGAGGTCTTTGACGGTAAAATTTTTGGATGTAAAGTTTGTATTTCATTCTATGTGGGAATGTTTATAATATTCGATTCTGCTCCTGAGTCTACTTTGTTTTTGTCAAGTGGGTTGGTTATAGGCAATTTGTGGTGGGGGCAAGACTGAGGGTCTAAGAATTAGCTTTTTAGTTTTGTTTTTATTTATTGGATGACCGGGGGTATTCAGAAGTTATTTGTACTTTAGGCTAAATTATCACGTTCCATTTTTACTTTAGGCTCATTTAATACTTTTCCTTGAGAGAAATTTAGAGTGTGAGTTGGGACAAAATTGATTGTTGATTGATCTTTGTACTAGGTGATAGAGGGGACGGTTGTAATATCCAGATTTTGTTTATTTCGGTTGTCATATATGAGCTTGTTCCTTATTTTTGACCTGGAGGTCTTTAAGTTATAGTTTCATATATGTTTGGAGTTTGCAAAGTGTCGGCTAAAGAAATGGTGTCAGAATAAGGTGACGTTTAGATAGTTTCTGATTGGCTAAAGTTGAACTAGTTGTTCAAGAGTATCAGCATAGATTTTTAGAAAAGAGAAGAAAAACTTATTAAATTCTTGGAAGTTAATCATGAGTAATTAATTAGAAAGGGGTTTTTAAACTTCAACTTTCTTTAAAATTCTAGATTGTGGAATGAAAGTTTTGTAATCTTTTCGTGGTTGACTTCTGAGTTGTGATGATTTTTGTTGTTGAGATTTTTATTTTTTTTCGTGATAAAATTTTTTTCTTCTAGTTTTTGATTTTTTCTTTGTTTTTGAGGTATTTGTTTTTTGATTATTTCTTGAGATTTTAGTCGGGTATTTTTAATTTTCAGTCGGGTCGGGAACAGTTTTGAGTTCTGTAAAGAAGTAAAACTTTGTTAGTTCGCGAAGAGCATGTTCTTTTGTGTAATATGGTAAAAGATTGTTTCTGTGTTGAACTATTGAGACAAATGTTCCAATTTTTAGGTTTGTAGCTGGTGTGAATCGTGAATTTATATGTGATTGAACATGCTGTCTTAGTAAACGTTTTTTGGCTATTTTTGATAACTTTCATTTTGTTTTTTTATCTCTATTTAAAATCATTTCGGTATGTGTGCTGGAAGCTAATTTTAAGATTTGTGGGTGATCAAAGTGATCTTCATCGTGCGTGTGTAATGGTAAGTAAAACAAATTGATTCATTTGTAGGTTGGCAATAACCTTGTGTATTTGTAGGTTGGCAATAACCTTTTCCATCGACTAAGTGCAATGGAAAATTTCTGAGTCGTGATGATTTTCGTTGTTGAGATTTTTTTTCTTTTGATAATGTTTTTTTCTTCTAGTTTTTGATTTTTTCTTTGTTTTTGAGGTATTTGTTTTTTGCTTATTTTTTGAGATTTTAGTCGGGTATTTTTAAATTTCAGTCGGGTCGGGAACAACTTTGAGTTCTGTAAAGGAGTATAACTGTGTTAGTTCGCGAAGAGCATGTTCTTTTGTGTAATATGGTAAAAGATTGTTTCTGTGTTGAACTATTGAGACAAATGTTCCATTTTTAGGTTTGTAGCTGGTGTGAATCGTGAATTTATATGTGATTGAACATTCTGTTGTAGCTGGTGTGAATGTTTGTAGCTGGTGTGAATGGTGAATTTATATGTGATTGAACATCCTGTCTTAGTAAAAGTTTTTTTGGCTATTTTTTGATAACTTTCATTTTGTTTTTTTATCTCTATTTAAAATCATTTCGGTATGTGTGCTGGAAGCTAATTTTAAGATTTGTGGGTGATCAAAGTGATCTTTATCGTGCGTGTGTAATGGTAAGTAAAACAAATTGATTCTTTTGTAGGTTGGCAATAACCTTGTGTATTGTTGAGGAGTTTGCTGCGAACTTAATTGGTTTCCGTGGCTTTTGATTGAAAACCGTATCATAAGGTGATAGTCCTAGGGTTGTTTTAATCTGTGAAATATAAGCTAAACGGAATAAATTTACATCTGTTGACCATTCAGTGTATTTTGTATCATTTTATTTATGATACATCTGAGGTATTCTTGTAGTGAACGGTTCATTCCTTTGACTAAACCATTAGTCCATGGGGTATGAAACGTTCGTGGTTTGTGTTTAATGTTAAATAGATGGCTTAATGTGATGATTTCTTTATATATGAATTCAGTGCCCTTATCGGTGACAAGAATTTCTGGTAATACAAATTTTGCTATCCAGGGTTCCTAGTGTTGTATATGCATAATAGGCATTACAAGGAGGTAGTGGGTTGAGTGCTACATAGTGTGTAAACGCATCAACTATAAGCATTGTATTTGAGTTTCCTTCTGAAGAGGGTGATATCGGTCCTTTTGAATCAAATGAGATTCTGAGGTTGAAATATAAACTTTGTCCTTTAAAATCTTGTTTCTCGGCTATTTGTTTCTGATGTGGGGATGTTTTATTTAACTAGCATGTTATGCAATAGTTTCATAATACTTTAATCCAAATCGGTGCAATTGGAAAGTAATAATTTTGGATAAAATTTGAGTATGTTTTTTTTCTGATCCTGCATGTTCTTTTGTACTTAAGGAATGTGAAATGTGAAATGCTAGGAGTATCAAACTTAGTGGAAAACAGGGTACTTTTAATTCAGGTGTTTAGTGTTCTAAAACATTGGTATCCTCGTTTATAGATGTTATAGACGTGTTAGTGAATTTTCTAAAGTATCGAGGCAGTTTTTTGTTTCCTAGAATTGTGGTATCTGCTTTTATAGATTTTGTTTTATAATTTTGCCAAGACTTTAGTTGTCTAATGACTGGGTCAAGGTTTTGGTATTTTTAAAGTAGCTCAATTGTCAATTTGTCTGGAGCTGATAAAAATAATTTTTCAATTTCTGCTTTTCAATGAGGTATGTTATGTAGAGGGTCATGTAGGTTATAATTTAGATTAATTGTGTATTTTGGATCTATATCTGGAAGTCCTGATAAATTTATGTTGTTAGTTAAGTTTTCTTTTTCGAATTAGGGGAATAGGTCTGTCCAATACATTTTTTGTTCAAGTGGTTTTTGTTGTGTATTATTGTGATCCATGATGAATTTTGTATCGGTTTAAAGGTAGAGTTTCCTAATAAGTCTATTTCGTAGTGATTATTTTGGCAATCTAGATATAATGGAAAGTGTTCTAAATTATTTATCTGTACAGTATCAATGTCAGTTTGTACGGCATATTTGCAATCCAATCGTGGTCTTGTTTCGTCTTTTGCAAGAAAAAACTTAATATTTTGTGGTATTTCTACTGTTGTTATTGCTGTTAGTAATTTAGGTGGCGTGTTTCGACTGAGTGCAATGGAAAATTTCTGAGTCGTGATGATTTTCGTTGTTGAGATTTTTTTTCTTTTGATAATGTTTTTTTCTTCTAGTTTTTGATTTTTTCTTTGTTTTTGAGGTATTTGTTTTTTGCTTATTTTTTGAGATTTTAGTCGGGTATTTTTAAATTTCAGTCGGGTCGGGAACAACTTTGAGTTCTGTAAAGGAGTATAACTGTGTTAGTTCGCGAAGAGCATGTTCTTTTGTGTAATATGGTAAAAGATTGTTTCTGTGTTGAACTATTGAGACAAATGTTCCATTTTTAGGTTTGTAGCTGGTGTGAATCGTGAATTTATATGTGATTGAACATTCTGTCTTAGTAAAAGTTTTTTTGGCTATTTTTTGATAATTTTCATTGTGTTTTTTATCTCTATTTAAAATCATTTCGGTATGTGTGCTGAAAGCTAATTTTAAGATTTGTGGGTGATCAAAGTGATCTTCATCGTGCGTGTGTAATGGTAAGTAAAACAAATTGATTCATTTGTAGGTTGGCAATAACCTTGTGTATTGTTGAGGAGTTTGCTGCGAACTTAATTGGTTTCCGTGGCTTTTGATTGAAAACCGTATCATAAGGTGATAGTTCTAGGGTTGTTGTTATCTGTGAAATATAAGCTAAACGGAATAAATTTACATCTGTTGACCATTCAGTGTATTTTGTATCATTTTATTTATGATACATCTGAGGTACTCTTGTAGTGAACGGTTCATTCCTTTGACTAAACCATTAGTCCATGGGGTATGAGACGTTCGTGGTTTGTGTTTAATGTTATATAGATGGCATAATGTGATGATTTCTTTATATATGAATTCAGTGCCATTATCGGTGACAAGAATTTCTGGTAATACAAATTTTGCTATCCAGGGTTCCTAGTGTTGTATATGCATAATAGGCATTACAAGGAGGTAGTGGGTTGCGTGCTACATAGCATGTAAACGCATCAACTATAAGCATTGTATTTGAGTTTCCTTCTGAAGAGGGTGATATCGGTCCTTTTGAATCAAATGAGATTCTGAGGTTGAAATATAAACTTTGTCCTTTAAAATCTTGTTTCTCGGCTATTTGTTTCTGATGTGGGGATGGTTTATTTAACTAGCATGTTATGCAAAAGTTTCATAATACTTTAATCCAAATCGGTGCAATTGGAAAGTAATAATTTTGGATAAAATTTGAGTATGTTTTTTTTCTGATCCTGCATGTTCTTTTGTACTTAAGGAATGTGAAATGTGAAATGCTAGGAGTATCAAACTTAGTGGAAAACAGGGTACTTTTAATTCAGGTGTTTAGTGTTCTAAAACATTGGTATCCTCGTTTATAGATGTTATAGACGTGTTAGTGAATTTTCTAAAGTATTGAGGCAGTGTTTTGTTTCCTGGAATTGTGGTATCTGCTTTTATGGATTTTGTTTTATATTTTTGCCAAGACTTTAGTTGTCTAATGATTTGGTCAAGGTTTTGGTATTTATGTAGTAGTTCAATTGTCACTTTGTCTGGGGCTGATAGAAATATTTTTTCAACTTCTGCTTTTGAATGAGGCATGTTTTGTAGAGGGTCATATAGGTTATAATTTAGATTAATTGTGGTTTTTTAATCTATATCTGGAAGTCCTGATAAATTAATGTTGTTAGTTAAGTTTTCTTTTTCGAATTAGGGAAATAAGTCTTTCCAATACATTTTTTGTTTAAGTGGTTTTTGTTGTTCATTGTTGTGATCCATGATGAATATTGTATCGGTTTAAATGTAGAGTTTCCTAATAAGTCTATTTCATTGTGACTATTTTGGCAATCTAGATATAATGGAAAGTGTTCTAAATTATTTATCTGTGCATTATCAATGTCAGTTTGTACGGCATATTTGCAATCCAATTGTGATGCATTTCGTTGTTGAGATTTTTTTTTGTTTCTTGTGATAAAAATTTTTTCTTCTAGTTTTTAATTTTTTCTTTGTTTTTGAGGTATTTGTTTTTTGCTTATTTTTTGAGATTTTAGTCGGGTATTTTTAATTTTCAGTCGGGTCGGGAACAGCTTTGAGTCCTGTAAAGGAGTATAACTGTGTTAGTTCGCAAAGAGCATGTTCTTTTGTGTAATATGGTAAAAGAATTTTTCTGTGTTGAACTATTGAGACAAATGTTCCAATTTTTAGGTTTGTAGCTTGTGTGAATCGTGAATTTATATGTGATTGAACATCCTGTCTTAGTAAAAGTTTTTTTTGGCTATTTTTTGATAACTTTCATTTTGTTTTTTATCTCTATTTAA